TATATATATATATATATAGCCGGCGCTTTACATTTTTAAATAGGTCCGGGCTGCTCGTTTAGTATGCTCGGATCACTTGTAAAGCAGCCTGCTCTTTGTGTTGTCCCTTCCCCCCCACCTCCCCTCCAAGGTCCATCCCCACCATGGTCCGCACCATGGTTTTCAGGCTCTTCTGACCAGGGACCATGGCAAACTAGTTCAGGATAGAGAGCGGGGAGCAGAGGGGACAACGTCCGTTCTCCACTCTGCTCTGTGAACACTCTGTTCACAGCGCTTCCTGTATCAGCTGTCCCAAGCTGTAGAGAAGATATAGCACAATGCTGTGCTGTATCTTCTGTATTGGAGAGCAGACTTATAAAGGGAGCCTGTCCCCTCCGAATGATATCACATAGGAGCTTGTTAGCCCCTGTGTGATATCAATAAAGTTAAGTGAAAAAATAGTGATTTAAAAAATGCAAAAATTGCAAGCACTCCTTGGCCAGTGCAGTCAGGTGACCATGCTAGCCAATGAGAAGTGCTTCTTAGCAGGTAAAATAGGGTTTGGGTTAAAATTATTTTTGTACCAGGAAAAGTATAATTATGGATTGAGTCACAGTTCCTCATAATTCTAAAGAAACATTTTCCTTCGGCATGAGGGAAAGTACTTGGTCTTGAAAAAATGGTATCCGGACATCCCTACAAATTTGTATTGGTATGACACAAAAAAGCTAGATCTGACACATTCCACTTAAAACTCCCAAAATTTACTGGACAAAATTATTGGCACCTTCTCCAACTTGCAAGAAATAATTGCATTCTAAGTTTTTGTGGAAAAGCATGGACAATCTCAAGGTTACAAGTCCATCTCCAGAGATCTTAATGTTCCTGTGTCCACTGTGAGCAACATTGTCAAGAAGTTCACAGCCTATAGCACTGTAGCTAATCTCCCTGGACTTGGACGAAAGAGAACAATTGATCAAAGATTGCAATGAAGGATGGCTCGAATGGTGGATAAAGAACAGGGTACAACTTTGTCAGCTCGCACTGTATGTCAACATCTGAATGAAAAGGGACGCTATGGTAAGAGACCCAGAAGGACCCCACTGCTGACACAAACATGAAAAAGCCAGATTGGAGTTTGCCAAAACTTACCTGAGGAAGCCAAAATCCTTTTGGGAGAATGCGCTGTGGACAGACGAAACAAAACTACAGCTTTTTGGTAAAACCCATCATTCTACTGTTTTCAGAAAAATAAATGAGGCCTTTAAAGAAAAAAATACAGTCCCTACAGTCAATCATGGTGGATGTTCACTGATGTTATAGGGTTGCTTTGCTGCTTCAAGCACTGGATGTCCTAACTGTGTGCATGGCATTATGAAAGACTACCAAAGAATTCTGGGGTGCAATGTAGGGCCCAGTGTCAGAAAGTTGGGTCTCCGTCAGGGGTCATGGGTCTTACAGCAGGACAATGACCCAAAACACACATCAAAAAGCACCCAGAAATGGTTTCAGACAAAGTGCTTTAGAGTACTGGACTGACCAGCAATGAGTCCAGATCTAAATCCCATAGAGCACCTCTGAAGAGATCTCAAAACAGCAGTTGGGAAAAGGAACCCTTCCAATCTGATGTTGGCGAAAGAGCAGTTGGCGAAAGAAGAGTGCTCTAAAATTCCCGTAGAGAGGTGTAAGAAACTCATTGATGATTGCAGGAAGCCATTGATTTCTGTTATTTTTTCCAAGGGTTGTGCTGCTAAATATTAATTGAGGATGCCAAAAATTTTGTTCAGTCCATTTTTGGAGTTTTGCGTGGAATGTCAGATTTGGCCTTTTTTATTTCCTCCACTTTTTTGTGCCATACCAATATAAACAAAAGAAATACCGTATATACTCGAGTATAAGCCGAAATTTCAGCCCATTTTTTTTGCTGAAAAGTGCCCCCTGGGCTTATACTCGAGTCAGCGTCAGGTTTCTTCTTACTTACCTCGCCGAGCGTCGCGTCACTGCTGCTCCGGTGGGCGGCGCTCCGAGCGGGGTCATCTGGCAGTCTCCGGGTCCTAATTTAGGTGGCCGGAGACTGCCAGATGACCCCGCTCGGAGCGCCGCACACCGCAGCAGCAGCGACGCTCGGCGAGGTAAGTAAGAAGAAGAAAAAACCCCCCGCAGCGGCCAGTCAGGCAGGGGAGCAGGGATGAGTCAGCGGCGCGCTGATCAGGCGAGAGGAGCTCCAGGTGGGGTTGTAATTTAGCGGGCAGGCACCTCTAAGTCAGCTAAATTAGGACCCCACCTGGAGCTCCTCCCACTGGACCAGCGCGCCGCTGACTCGTCCCTGCTCTCTCCGTGATGTGATGATCCGATCACCGGCACACAGTGAGTGAGGGGAGGGGAGGGAGGGGGGGTAGAGAGAGAGATTAATTAAATAATTATATATGTATTGTCTGCACTGTATTAGCAGTATATACTCTATATAGAGTATATACTGCTAATACAGTGCAGACAATACATTTACAATTATACTAACATGAATGTATTAAATGATCTGTATGTAGCCCTGTACTATGGATCATTTAACCCATTCATGTTAGCAGAGGATAATTGTAAATGTATTGTTGCAGGCACTCTATATGTACATGTACTATATACTACATATAGAATGCACTGAACAATAGATTTACAATTATCCTCTGCTAATATGAATGGGTTAAATGATCCGTAGTACATGATATGTAGCCCTGTACCCCCTTTTCCACTTACAGAGCTAGGTTATTTTTCTTTTAAATAAATATTCATGTAATTTTATTGGTATCTATCTACCAGTAGCTGCCTCATTTCCCATATATTCGAGTCAATACTTTTTCCCAGTTTTTTGTGGTAAAATTAGGTACCTCGGCTTATATTCGGGACGGCTTATACTCGAGTATATACGGTAAACATGAGAATGCCTAAACATGTGTAATTGTACATTTGTAACAATTTTCTGCGCAAAGTGGTGCATTATCTGACAGAAATGCAGTGGTGCCAATATTTTTGGCCATGACTGTGTATGTATAGGTTTAGTTAGGTGTGAAAGAATGCTTTCAGAAATAAGTGTTAAAGGATAACTATGAGGTGAGTGATTTTCACTCAACCTCAATGTTCAAGCCGACGTGTGGCAATGAAACGGTCACAGGTCGGCTCAATAGATCGGGAAGTGAGCGAACACATACCGTCTCTCGCTCACTTCTCGCTCATCTCCCTGCAGAGAGCTGTGACTCACTCACGGCTCCCTGCAGGGATTCCCCACTCCGATCCCCCAGCGCTGACTGGCGGAACGGACGGGGGAGGGGGCGGGTACAGCTGGCTCTGCCTCTAGATAGGCAGAGCCTGCTGTCACTCACGCAGCTGGGTGGATCTCGACAGTAATGTCGGGATCCGTCCCGGCTGCAGCGGTCTCAGTATACCGTGAGCTGTAGCTTGCGGTATACTGAGTTTTGGGTGACTGGAGGACGCTAGTTTATGTCCTGCCGTGACCCTTAGGAGAACTATGGGGAAAAACACTGGCCCCATAGTTCTCCTTTAATCGTTTATTTTTATCAATTAACAAAATAGAAAGTAAATGAACAGAAGAGAAATCCAAATCAAATCAATATTTGGTGTGACCGCCCTTTGCCTTCAAAACAGCATCAATTCAATTCTTGTAGGTACACTTGCATGCAGTATTTGAATGAAGTCAGCAGGTAGGTTGTTCCAAACATCTTGGAGAACTAAGCACAGATCTTCTGTAGATGTAGGCTGCCTCAAATCCTTCTGTCTCTTCATGTAATCCCAGACAGAGGGCTCTGAGGGGGGGCCAAACCATCACTTCCAGGACTCCTTGTTCTGCTTTATGCTGAAGATAGCTCTTAATGACATTGGTTGTATGTTTGGGTTCATTGTCCTGCTGCAGAATACACTTGGGGCTAATCGCACACCTTCCTGATGGTATGGCATGATGGATAAGCACCTGCTTGTATTTCTCCGCATTGAGGATACCATTGATCCTGACAATCTCCCAACTCCATTGGCAGAAATGAAGCCCCAGACTTGCAAGGAACCTCTACCATGCTTCACTGTTGCCTGCAGACACATTATTGTACTGCTCTCCAGCCCTTCAGTGAGCAAACTGCCTCCTGTTACAGCAAAATGTTGAAAGTTGATTCATCAGTCCAGAGCACCTACTACCATTTTTCTGCACCCCAGTTCCTATGTTTTCCTGCATAGTTTCCACGTTAGAGGTATGGCTTTTTTTGGCTGCCATTCTTCCATGAAGACCACTTCTGGCCAGACTTCTTCAGACAGTAGATGGGTGTACCTGGGTCCCACTGGTTTTCCGCCAGTTCAGTGCTAATGGCACTGCTCGACTATTTTGAAGGGAAGTAAGCATGATGTGTCTTTCATCTACAATAAGTTTCCTTGGCCAACCACTGTGTCTATGGTCCTCAACGTTGCCCGTTTCTTTGTGTTTCTTCAAAAGAGCTTGAACAGAACATCTTGCACGTGATGCTGTGCACAGTCTTGCCATGGTGTATGACCTGTGACATGAAACTGTCTTCCACAACCTCACCTTAGTAGCAGAGTTTGGCTGTTACCCAGTTTTAAGCCTCCTACACAGCTGTTTCTGTTTCAGTTAATGACTCTGTTTCAACCTACCTATGAAATTGATGATCATTCGCACCTGCTGGTATAATTGGTTAATCATACACCTGACTCTAATCCTACAAAATCCCTAACTGTGTGCAAGTGTAATAATTGATGCTGGTTTGAAGCCAAAGGGTAGTCACCCACTATTAATTTGATTTAGATTTTTCTTCTGTTAACTCACTTTGCATTTTGTAAATTGGTAAAAATAAATAATATATATTTTTGAAAGCATTCTTACTTTGCAGCATTTTTTCATACCTGCCTAAAACCTTTGCAAAGTACTGTATATACACATAGAAGGAAATTTATCAAAACTGGAGCAGACAAAATCTGGAGCAGCTGTCCATGGCAACCAATCGGCTTCTATCTTTCATTTTTAAATCTTAACTGAACAAACTGAAGAGAGAAGCTGATTGGTTGCCATGCACAGCTGCTCTTGATTTTGTCTGCTCCAGTTTTGATCAATTCCCCCCATATGTTTTTTGTTGAGTTTTGCATGGATAAATGTAAACAATAAGCATACCACTTCGACCATGAGCCCACACTCCAACCAAGACGCGCAACATCAGATCACAGGGATAGTCAATGCAAAACATTTTTTCAATACATTAACAGTATTTACACACTCCTGTACTAGCCTTTAACAGCAGTCCATGGTGGCACTTGATGCTGTTGAGATTTTTTTTGGAGGGGGGTTATATAACATTAATAACCCTAGACTAGAAAATAAGCTCTATAACCTCCAACAGGAAGCCTTAAACTCCACATTTAGGAGGCAGAACTGAGCCCCCAACAGATATGAGAAGTCAGTTAAGTGAGAAGCCAGTGGGTGATTCAATCTACCAACATCTATCCCTTATCAAAAACCATAGTAAAAAAGAAAGATACTCTTTTAATACTGCTTTCTTAGTGTGGTGGCTTTTTCTATTTATGAGTAAACTAGGCACAGTTGGATAAGTTTACCCTGTTAAAAATTTTAGCCATCTAGCATACTGTTTTTGTTTGTTAATTTAAAGTTTGTTTGTTTAACGTTAAACATACTTTCTTTTCCTCAGGAGCTCAATAAAAAGAGAACCCAGAAAGAAATGGAGCATGCCATGCTAATCCGGCACGACGAGTCTACTCGAGAGCTGGAGTACCGGCAGCTGCATATGTTGCAAAAGCTTCGGATGGACCTTATACGTCTGCAGCACCAGACTGAACTGGAAAACCAGTTGGAATACAACAAGCGCAGGGAAAGGGAGTTGCACCGGAAACATGTAATGGAACTCCGGCAGCAACCTAAAAATCTCAAGGTGAGTGTGCTGTGTAAACTAAATGAAAATGAAACGCTGGTACAATGTGAACAAGAGGTTATTTCTTGTTAGCCCTCCTATGTGAAGTTACCAAGCCAAAGGACCCACACTTGGAGATCACCTGTAATGTATATAAAAATCAAATATGACCTTCAAGCAAGGAGAATACAGAGTAACACTGGTGCATTACTACACGCAAAGCCTTGGATGAACAACTCTACCTTGCATAGTAGGAATAGGAATAACTACAAACGCATTTCTCCCTTTTACTGACTGAATAGAAAGATGCTAATGTTCCTTCTGACAAATAGAATGCGAGGTCATATATATGCACATCTGTATTCATTTCTAGGCTGCATTTTACAGAATAGTCTTTATTTCCCTTTCACCCTACCTGGTGGCCATTGAGACATCTCTCACCCACCCACATTGACTAAGACCATCGCACTAATTCACCTTTACTGAAGCTGATCAACACACGTTTAAGTAAATGCTTTGTTTAAAGCATACCTACAGTTCCTTATCTATTTCCCTTGTTTTTTTGGTCCAGGTGTATAGTATTTTTAAATTTAGGATTTTGGTGGTTAGAGTAGGTGCATGGGCTGTACATGATAGTTTACAGGTTCATAGATCTGAATTTCCCCAAAATAGGAAGGAAGTAAGGTTACCCAAAGCAGAGTCTTATTTCTTGGTTGTGGTACCCTTTTTGCATTCCAACTGTAATCTTTGTTCTGACAACCCAACTAAAAAGCATATTCTGAAATAGAGGATTATCATTTACTTGAGCCTTGGAGGAGGAAGTTACATGTCGTGAGTGGCCCAAAAGTTAAGGTTCTATAAGTATGGAAAGAGGAGAGGAATGAACAATCAGCACAGATGCATACAGTGACCTGAAACTATATTTTTGACGTAGGTAATGGAAATGCAGATAAAGAAACAGTTTCAAGACACATGCAAAGTGCAGACCAAGCAGTACAAGGCCCTGAAGAATCACCAGCTGGAGGTATCCCCAAAGTGTGAGCACAAGACAATACTCAAGTCCCTGAAGGATGAGCAGACTCGCAAACTGGCCATACTTGCTGAGCAGTATGAGCAAAGCATCAATGAGATGATGGCTTCACAGGCGGTAAGCAGCAACAAGATGTTCTTATCAGTGGTTTTTTTCACAGAATGCGGGATGTCAATAAAAGGTTTAGTGCAAAATATAGGTGGGGTGCCAACACATGATCCCCTTGGTTGTCTATAAGCAGAAGCTATTAATCTTAAAAATGTCTTCTTTTTGTAGGGTTTCAACCCAAGAATGTAACCAAAACACACCCTTAAAAAAATGTAGAGCCAGTAATTTGAAATACAAATTAGTTAACATGGTCAGTTCCCTTGCTTTATAACAACAACAACAACAACAACAAAAAATAATAACATTTAATGCATGTTTAGAGTATAGTGTAGAGTCGCTGTAGCGTAAAGTGAGAAATAAAACCTCAATAAAATCTGTAGATGATTTGTGATCATGTGTAATTAATGTGGAACTGGCTTGATCAATGTTTTTTTGTTTTTGTTTTCTTCATAGCAGGTATAAGGGTTAATTTCGGCCTCTAGATTCATGGGAACGTATGTTAGCAGATATAAATATAAGATACTGTACAGGCAGTCCCCGGGTTACGGACGTCCGACCTACGGACAATCCGTACTTACGAACGGGGTCCATAGTACTCTTAAATGTACCGGCAGCCGCTGGTACATTTTGGAGAACTGTGGCTGCAGCTGCCTGTGTCCCTTCAAATCCCCGCTGTTCTCCCCACCTGTGTTGGCGGAGGCAGCGGGGACACAGACCGCTGCATTGCTCCGCTGCCCCCGTACCTCTGCTGCTGTCTTCCCTTGGCCCGTCGGCTTCTCCATTCCACCGTCCAGCCGCGGCACCTCTGCCCCGCCCCCTGCCTCATCTTCATCTGCTGGCTGGGAGCCATACCCAGCCTGCTATTGGATATTGTAAAATGCAATAGCCAATAGCAAGCTGGCTATTGCACCTGCCTGCTGTCAATCAGCATGGGAGAAGCTGATAGAGAACTTTCTCCTTCAGGCCCTTCCTCTGCTGATTGACAGCAGGCAGTGGGCAGATGCAATAGCCTGCCTGCTTTTGGCTATTGCAATTTGAAATATCCAATAGCAGGCTGGCTATTGCTTCCAGCATTAAAAGTTTATAAAAAATTAAATTAAAAAGACAAAAAAATGTAAAAAAAAGTTAAATTAATAAAAATGAAACATGCAGACAAATAAAACAAATAAAGTTTATAAAATTAAATTAAAAATAGAAAAAAGTTTGAGTCATTTTAAATAAAACATTTTTTTAATTATATTTGAATCTTCTGAACAACAGGAACAGACAGCAAAACAAACGTAACCCTTCCCTATGCTATCCAAAACTAAAAAATGTTTTTTTGTTAAACTTAAAAAATGTACCTGTTCTGACTTACATACAAATTCAACTTATGTACAAACCTAAAGTCCCTGTGTTGTATGTAACCCGGGGACTGCCTGTATACAAATGATGATGTTTAAATTAATGTTTAAGTTTACATTGGTGCCTGTTGCTGAAGCTTTGCAAAACAAAAGTTTAGGAACAAACGTAGAGCCGCCTAATGCTTCCTTCTCCACATTCAAAACGTTATTGTGCAAGCAGCACAGAAATACTCAACCCATTTTTTCCTCTGTTGTGTTTTGCCCCCTCCAAGGGTTTAATCGTAGAGTTGAAGTAAAGGGTGAGAGGATCAGAATACTTATTCACACCATAAAGGCACTCAAATAGAGTTTTCTAAAGGGCTACATTGAGCATGCATGTTCATTTACTGACATATTATTTCTACTTCTACTATTTCTAGAAGACCCACCTATAAAACCAGTAATCTTTATTCATCTGGATATAAAAAATTGAAATGCAAATTACACTAAAATTCACATAGTAAATCCTAATATTTAATTTGTTGGACTTTGGGAACCCTGGTATCCAGGGTAAAGACCTTCTCCTGTTTAATAATTCCCTAGAGACTGAATTATAAATAAATTGTATTAATTTGGTCCCATCTTTTCCCCTTCTTCCTATCTCTCCCTCTTTTCCTTCCTTTTTAACCTCATCTTTTCCGTCACTTTTTTTTTTTTTTAAGTTCCTTCAATCCCCCCCTCTTCTCTTTCTTTCCCTTCTCCCCACTTGTCATCTCTCTCCCTCCCTTTTCCATTCACTTTCTTTCTCTCCAATATTATTATGATGAGTTGTGTGTTTTAGTGTAGTTTGCATTTTAGTTTGTATAGCAAGATGATTAAAGATTGTTTTAGTTGCAGTAGTAATGTCAATATATGGGCCTTGGTTGTGCTAACACCATGCATGCTGAATGGATCTCTCTATTGGAGTGCCTTTATGGTTTAAGTATTTTTTCCTACGTTTCCTCTATGATTAAGCCCCTGTAGGGAGCAAAATGCATCAGATGAAGGAATGGGTTAAGTGTCTTTGTGCACCAACAGCTAGAGTGTGGAGCGGGACCTAGGAGAGGTGATCAGGTTTGACTTAAATGCATTTAATATTTGCCTTTTGAGCCACACCCTCTTCAAAAAGATGGCTTGATATGGCTGGTAAGCGCTGATTAATGACAACAGTCATTCACACTGTTCACTATACGCATAGTTATGTAAAAGTCGTAGTTATGTAAAAGTCGAACACTGTGACTGCAGAAGTGAAGGTGATGTCTCATACATTCTGAGCAGCTGTGCACCTTAATCACAGTGTGCATCACCTTTTGTCTCTAGTCTACTGAGGGAATTGTGAAGAATACATTTAGTGATACAGTTTTAATGGAAATTTGTAATATCTGAATATAATTTTATGCTTCTATTGCAAAGGCATTGGATCAGCATTTCTTGACTACTAATCTTGATTTAAGTATATTGATAGTCATTGTATGATTTGTGAATAAAGGTTCAAAAAAAGCATATGGTAACAACTGCACATAATTTGCATGAGCAGTCCCTGTTTTGGAAGATATTCTCTGGGAGTCCCTGTTGTTGAATACTCTATTAGCGTGTTATATTCATTCTGTTCATGCAGTCTTAGCTGTTTTTATTTGTTGTTTGTACGTTACAGGACACAGGAAGTTACAGTTTATGACCACTTGGCTATGCAGCTCCTTTCGGTGATTAGACACTTGCAACGCTGTAAGAGAGCCCTGTTAAACCTCTCACACTCCAAGCCGGCCTCAGCTCTGATAGAAATTCATCCTTTTCTGCACCATTTTTTTAACAAGACTCTTCTAGCTTCTAAGCTTTCCTATGCCACTGTGGCTCCTCCAGCATTTATCCAGGTTGGTTTTCTCCTTGGCAGAGCCTTAGGGGACAGAGCCTTACCTGGACCCCGCCAGAAGGAAGATGCGGGGATGGCCTGTAAGCTGTTTAGCCACAAGAGTCAGCGTTCAGCTCCATCTTGGTACTTTTGCAGCTTGTGGAGTAGCTACAGTGTGCGCCACAGATCTAGGGCCATTGTCATTCTATGGTGGAACCCGCCCCCCAGGGCACTATGCCCACGCAGAAGGCAAAGTCCGTTGTGGGGGGTGGCGGGTTTTACCTCCACTGGGGACACTCTCCACCAGTCCAATGCTTTGCCCCCTGTACCCATCGTTTCTTGCTTCAGGATCCCTCTCTCCACCCTCCTTTTCCTTATCCAGAGAGAAGTTTACTGCAGTCATGGCTGACTTTATGGGGCAAATGGCTGACCTCTTTTAGACCGTAGGGGGTCACAGATGGGGACCTTCCCTCCTGCCCCCTCTGACCCTCCTGTTTCTTCCTTTGCACTACCTGAGGAAGGAGAGAAAAAAAAGTGGCTACCTCCAGTTTTAAGGAATCAACCAAGGGAGAGGACCTGTCTCCTGACATTTCTCCTAAGCTCAAGGACGCTATTTCTGTCCGTGTGGAAGTAGTGCATATGTGTTTACAGTTAAAGCCACATGCGTCGACCCTTGCAAAGGTCATTAGTCTGGGATATTTTAAAAATAACAAAACCTTCCCTCTGCACTGTTAGCAGTGTTGCACGTGCCTCTGTTGGATATAATCCATGTGGTTAACGAATTTAACTTCCTGTGTCCTGTGATGTACAATCAAGAGAACAGGATTTTTGTCTTGCCTGTAAAAACCATTTCATGGAGTACATCACAGAACACAAAACGCCATCCAGTCTAATAATGCTTGCTAAAAAGGCTGGGAGTGGGATGGGTTATACATGGCTGTCCCACAGCTTTGGTAGAGTTGCTGTTGTCTAATCACCTAAACTGCATAACCCAGTGGTTGAAGTTTGCAAGGATTTTGATAATGGGGACAGAGTGTAATTTGATGTAGTATTATAGGGAGACTGCACACTAGGAGCATGCTCATCTAGAATGGTGCCAGAGGTGCTTGCTTGGATCTACCTACATCTGGGCTTAAAGATATCTTCAGGCCTTTATATCAGGCAAAAAATATGTGCAGGTTCCAAACAAAAGCAGAGAAAATGTGAAAGGCTATGTTTTCAAACTTGCTCAGTTTAATTAAAGAGGTGTACCTGTTTTCAATTTTTGGAAAGCTTGACCTCTTCTCTCATGTTAAGCAGGTGATCGCATGTTTAATAAAACAATTGGAAAATATTTGATCTGAGGGGGAGTCAAAGTAGTGCTGCAGCTAACGATTATTTTCATAATCGATTAGTTAGCCGATTATTACGTTCGCTTAATCGGATTTTAAAAAAAAGGCTACGGTGATGCACTACTAGTTTTTATTGAGATTGTAGTCCATCACGGGAGCAAGCTTGGCGCGATGGAAGTAAAAAAAAAAAGTGTGGTGTGCAATATACAGCGGCGCAGTGCAGAATACCAGCAGCTATAGAGGAATGCAGCAATAGTACATTATACCATAATGTACTATTGCTGGGATTTGTAGTGCTCTGTAGCTGGCGTTATTCTGCATTGCGCTGTATATAATGTATTATTGCTGCGATTTGTAGTCCTCTATAATACCTGTTTCTGAACCGTTGTAAGTCACTGCAGCGGCGGCGTGCTCTGCGGCTTGTGCAATGGGTGTGGCGTGCGGGCGGGCATGTGTCCGGCTTGTGCGGTGGGCGGGTACGCGGTGGCATGCGTAGCGTAATTAGTGTATGGAGCCGTGAACAGGCGGGCGTGAGCGGCGAGCGGGAAATATAAATTTTAGCCGACGAATCGACGATGAAAAACGTTGACAACGTTTTCCACTGTCGATTTTAATCGACTTAATCAAATAATTGTTGCAGCTCTAAGTGAAAGTAATAGTGTAGTTTGTAATAAGTATGACCTAGCTAGCATTTTTGTATGATGTATCAGTTTTTAACAGAATTAGAGTTAGTTTAAAGTTTTGAAGGTTCTCTTCAAAACTGAACTCCAACCATTTACAATATTGATAATGAGTCAATCTGCGCTAATGTAAAAACAACTTAACCAATAGAGGGATCTGAGGTTTGGAAGCTGCCACACAAAAGGCTAACAAGCCTCACTAAATTCCTAATACAATAGTATAGCGCTACACACCCTCCTATTAAAGTGCATGAAGTGAATAAATAACAAGTAAATAAATAATAATCTATTGCAAAATATAAATTAATAGATAAGTGATCAAAACAGTAATTAGTATTAAAAACTGATTAGATGCCCGGACAGTTCATTGAGCAAAAGTCCAATCTTTAAGCGTGAGAAATGTTGAAAACATTTTCAGTGAAGAAATAGGAAGAAAAGAAAATTCATCCACCACAAAAGTTTTTGGCAGCCAGAGATTGTGGTGAGTGCGCAATCACTGGGGGGGTTGAAATACACGAAGAGCATTATATTTCGGGGATTTTTGAGTTATTTTGACACTGGTTTATTCTTCACTTTATTGGATTTGGATGAATTTTTTTTTCTTCCTATTTCTTCATTGAAAAAGTTTTCAACATTTCTCACGTTTAAAGATTGGCCTTTTCTTCATTGAACTGTCCGGGCATATCATCTCTGTTTTTAATACTAATTACTGTTTTAATCACTTATCTATTTATTTTTTGCAATAGGTTATTATTTAATTACATATTATTTATTCACTTTATGCACTTTAATAGGAGGGTGTGTAGCGCTATAATACACACCCTGCATCTGCCTTAACAGGGTCACCTATCTGGGATCTTTGCAAATGCCATAGCCTGCTGCAACCTATCATGTACACTTGCTTATGCAGCTGATTTTGTATGGGGATTTTCTACCCCTAAGCGGTTTGCCCGGCAATGCCATATTGAGAATGGTTTCCAAATAAAATCGGCAGTCCATGTTATGGACCCTGCTATCTCGTGCTTAAACAGGACCCTTACAGTCCTTGTAGAGGATGTATAATTTTTCAAGCACCACACAAACAAGGTTAGAATCCTTTTTTAAGGCCGTATTTGCCCTTGCAGGCCCAGGCAACATAGCGGTATGTCTGACCTTATATGTATGGTGGAAAGCTAGGGACCCTGGATCCATATATGACAGACCTTGAAGTTCTAAAACACTTATTCCTGCGGCCTTAAGTTTTTGTGTTGATGGAGTGGCGGATACCCTCCGCCAAATCTCTAGGATGAGCCCCCTATATGTCCACATAGGGCTGATTTTTTTACTTTCAAAGTATTTTCCAAAGTAGAATAAAACAATAAAATAGCACATGATGCACAGTCAGTATAGCATACAATTGCATTTCAGATTCTTCCACATTAGCATAATTAGCAATAATAAGGCTGATTTTTTGACTCAAATGTTGGTCCTGAAAAGCATCACCTAGAGGGCATGCCCTTTACTGCGGAATGCTTTTTTGGCAAATCTTTGGGAAACATAGAAACAAATTCCTTTTCTCTTCCCCGGACCTCAAGTTTCAAATCCAGTCAGGGCACTCGGCTCAGGCTTAAGGCCAGGTCATCGAAATTTGCCACAAACAAGACCTCTTCACAATGTAGAGGTGCCCTCTATCTGTTTTACTTGCAAGGTGGCCTTCCTCATCGCCATCACATTGCTAGGCATGTTTCTGAGATGGCAGCATTGATGTGCTATGAGACAATTCTAGTCTTCTATAGCATAAAGTTGTGCTGAGGCCTAAGACCTCCTTTCTCTCTAAGGTGGTCTTTTCCTTCCACATTATCCAGGACACCATTTTGCCTTCATTGTGTCATGCACCAAAACATCCTAAGGAAATTTCCTTATACTGCTGGAACATGGTTCGGGTGGTTAGCGTTTACTTCTCTGTGACTGCTTTCATTTGCACATCTGCCTCTGTTTGCTGAGAGTCCCCATATGGGGCAGCCAGCCTCTTGCTCCACTATGACTACGTGGATTTGTCGGACCATGTCTCCGTCTATGAGCTGAGGGAGAAAGTTCCTCCATTTCTGATCACTGCGTATTCCACTAGAAGTGTTGGTGCTTCTTGAGCTTTTCAGCAACTTTTTAAAGCTGCGGTTTCCCAAATCTGTAAGGCTGCCACCTGGTCCTCCGTACACACATTTGTCAAGTCTTACCAGGTGGATGTTCACGCTTCTGTGGATGCTGGTTTTTGACAGAAGGCTTTTCAGACAGCCTTCGGCTTCGAGCACCCCTCTGTTTCTAGTTCTCTCTTCTGTGTTGGGATTGCTGTTCTTTGGGCCTGTTAACCGATGTTTGCTGTATATCCCTCCCCTCTGTTAGACTGCTTTTGAACATCTCAGTGGTTAAAGAGTTTGACTTCCTGTGTCCCGTGATGTGCGATCAAGAAAACAGGACAGGTTTCTTGGAATACATCACAGGACAAAGGACTAGCCACTCTGTACTGCTTGCTATAAAACTGAGATAGCCTGGGAGTGGGATGTGTTAAGCAGGGTTGTCCTGTAGCTCTGATTGATTTGCTAGTGTCCAATCACCTGAAGGTAGCTGCATCAACCAGTGGCTATAGAATGTAATTCCCTGTGTCCTGTGCTGTATGTAGATAAGCAGAAAAATTACCTGATCAGGATAAATGTTCATGTGGTATATAAAGTTGCATTTGACTGCAAGATTTTTAAAACAAACTGAATGGTGTACTTTTTCATATTTCAGTACTCTTGGCTTAGGAGGGTGATAAAGTTCAGAATGAGATTTTCTTGGCAGAAAAGGTTTTGGGAACCGTGGACCCTTTGTGTTACCAGACCAAAGGGTACACATAAGTAGCTTTCCTCTACTGTGGTAAACCCTTATAGGTGATTTTGTTATTTTCTTCTCTAGTTATTGATCTTATATAATCTATTTTTTTTCCTTTTGTTTTTACCTACTATACACCAACTTTGGACCTACGCTTTTTTGTGCATACTCTTGTTTGGACCGCAGCTGCGCTTGGATGAGGCTCAGGAAGCAGAATGCCAGGCTCTTAGGCAACAGCTTCAACAGGAGATGGAGCTACTGAATGCCTACCAGAGCAAGATCAAGATGCAAACTGAGGCACAGCATGAGCGTGAACTGCAGAAGCTGGAACAGAGGGTGTCTCTTCGTAGAGCTCACCTGGAACAGAAGGTACAAAACATTTAGCTGCAAATTACTATCTAATAATTTGTGTGTTGTGTTCCTCAGATGCAATTTTCATCCTGACATTTCGACAGAGATGAAAAACTATAACTGTTACTGCTGGAGGGTAGTACATGTATACATTCCATCTTAAAAGGAAACAAACTTAGAGTATTTCCACTTTTGCAGTCAAATGTGGGAAAACCCCACTATAAGTTTGTGATATGTTCCCATTCATACAAGATACTGAAAAGCATATATTTTATTTTGAACGTCTTGCCTTTTAGATGTTTCTTTGGAGCAGGCCTTTGGGCAGACTGCAAGCTACTCTGACCAATTTCAAAGTGAGTCTATGCCCAGACAGAGTGGGGGCATAGTCAATTACTCTTCATCAACATACAAAGCAGACGTTGGGCATCTTTGTTAGGACAGACAGTGTTCAAAATCTAGTTCACAATTGATAATGAGATCTACCATCACTGTACAAATAGGGTTAATTATGGTAAACATCAACTCCCCCATTGGCAGAGCAAAATTAATTTTGGAGCTTTTAGATGTGGTGTGATTGGTTTGAATGTTTATATATGATTATACATGGTTACTTAACATAATGTCTGGACCATTCTGTCTTAAGAAAAGTAAATCTGTAAGCTTGGAAAAATGTATCTGTTCTTAGTCCTACATGCAAAATTAAGTCACCCATGAGCAGGTGGCTTGTGACATGACATGACAAGACACATTGTCAAATTGCAAATTAATGGCCACCTGGATTTCCCCAAACTTCATATGTGGGAGGGAAATCTTTGACCTGGATCATTCATTTGTACATCATAGCCAGAAATACATTTTATGTGAACATACACTTGCATACAGCATTTTTTCTGATACTAGAGAAGCTTTCATACAGCACTTTGGTACTTTTTATGTTTCCATTTATTTTTATTTATTTTTTTTAGATTGGTTGTCAGCCAGGCAATCTCATTCTTATCATGAAACATTCCTTTCTTTCCTGAATCCCAAGCTTTGGTAGTGTAAGGCCTCATTCACACAGCTTAGAGTTGGGCCGTACAGATACGTGAGGTGTGCACAGCGGTATCGGCCGTTCCCGGGGAGGACAAGTGCTGCGTGTGATTGTACACAGCAGCCTGTTCTTTTCTATGGGAGGACGCGTACAATCACACGCAGCACCTGTCCTTCCCAGAAATGATGCAATATGGCTTTGCACCCCGCACGGATCTGTATGGCCCAACTCTAAGCTGTGTGAATGAGGCCTAAGGCTTGGGCCTTTTGCTTATGGAACAACTGGTCTTCTTTTTTGTCCAGGGTTCCTTCTGGGAACTTGTCTTAGTGGTTTTTGACCATATCACTCTATTTCTTCCTTCTCAGATAGTAATGATATTCCAAATGCTTTGGTGGGTTTTAGACTTTAGAGCCTCTCGCTGGAGGAGCAGGTTTAGTGTTTGTGAGTAAAGTCATTCCCCTTTGCAGTGACCTCAGGTTGTTACGCCACTGCCTCTTTTGTCCTGGTCGTGATCATCAGTTTAAACCTCTGTGACTTTCTCTTAGTTGAAAGATTTCCCTGTCTTACAGAGACTTCACCTAATCTGGTTCTGATTCGCATGTTGGTCCTTCTGGTAGTCCTGAGTTGCAGATGGTTCTGGATCTGTCAGCGACTGCTGATCACCCCTCAGTTGAGCTTCTTTTGAATGTCCAGACTGTTTCTAATATCCTCTGTCTCCTATAAAATAAGAAAAAAATATATATTTTTGTATTTACCATATTATCTTGGTTTCAATTGAGGGACAAAGGTCCCATCCCTTTTAATTTTTTGGGGGGGGTTTTTTGTTTGTTTTCTTTTCTTTTTTTAGTTTTTTTTTGCTGGCCTTGGGTATTGCTTCTTTACAAAAGTGGAGCATGCTGGTTAGAGGCTCACAATTTTTCTGTTTGCCAGTATCCCAACCTCCTGAAGGCAGCAGTATAGAATGCAGGTTCCTGAATTCCTGTCTCTCTCAATGGACTTAAAAGTTTAAAAAAATGGCAAGTACAGAAATTATATTTAGTTATTTAAAAATGGGGAAATACATGCTTGCTGACCAACACAGGCAACTAGTTTTGCTTTATACATTTTCTCGATGTAAAAAAAAAAAACCTTATTCAGTGGTGTGAACATTTTCTCTAATGTGTTTGATGTCTTCAACGTATCCATAGATCCTCTAAAAGGATGTTTTCTTTCTTACTGTGCTTGTTCTGTGCAAGAAAGAAATGTCAACAGCAATGTCTAAAAAAGCAGAGAGGCGGGGGCAGAAAAACAGAGAAAAATGCTTGGCTCATCCTCTACTACCTATTTGATGGTGGTTGCTACATTTATATTGCTCTTGTTTAGCCATGGTAGTGGGACAGTATAATACATGCACAAAAGTAGAAAAACCATTAAAAAGGCAGGACATTGTATTGGGGGGGAAAAAACCTGCATCCGGTGTTCTAAAGCTGACATTAGAATCCTTATTTGTGAATATTTCAGTGGTCAGTTATATTTTCTAAGTAACTAAGTCTTTATATACAAATCAGTAAAAGTAAAGTACAAGCAATTAAAAAAAACTTGGCAAAAAAGCTTGTGCAGCAGTTTGAGCTGCAAGCTTCCTGCGTTTTTGACCACATTTTTGTTGCACGTCAACACTTGGGCAAAGATTAGTTTTTTACCGGTTGCAGGGTGTAATTAACAAGCAAGGTCACCGCAATTGCAAGGGTGTGGAATTTTTTTTGCCCAAGGACTAAAGCGGGGGGGCCAATCCGCTTGTCCCTCAGTACAATCTACTTGTCCTGATACGGTTTTTAATACTTTTTTTGGTATTTAACCATGCTAAGAAGCCCTTCTCTCAGCACTGTCAGGTTGTGAGTGCTCACAATTTGCGAGCAAAATCCATGGTGCAGGGCTGTGCTGGACAGCAGCACAGGGTACAGATGGTACACCTGTATCAGCAGAAGGGAAGGACTGTTCACCTAAAGGTAAGTATAGCAGAGGGAGAAGAGAGGGCCATATTTGAGTGGGTAATTCTATTTTCCAAAACTACTTGGACAAGTGAACTTACCCTTTAATGCACACGTTGCTGCCCGGTTACCACAGTATGGCACACAATGGAATGGGGGCAGCACTTAGAGCACACACAATCCAGATGGCGGGGACGGTGGGGTTGTTTTTTTTTAAAATTTTATTTATTTTGTTAATTTTCACTTAACCTTATTGCTATTACATAGGGGATAATAAGCCACTATGTGATAGCGTCTTGAGGTGACAGGTTCTCTTTATGGAAAAATCTGGGGTCTATCAGACCCCAGGTGTCTCCCTATTAGACTCCAGTACAGAAAGTTGATCACAGCATTGTACTCTATCTCCTGTGCAGCCCCGATTATGACAGTTTAGACAGGAAGCCCTGTGAGTACAGCACTCCTGTCTCACTGATCACACAGAGCACATTGGAGAACGGACATTCTCTGGTCTGCTCCCCGTGAAGTCATTTGCCGTGGTCCTCGATCCCCCAGAAGCATGGGGGACTCCAAAAGCCATGTGGAGGTAACAAACAGGCTGCTACAAGTGATCTGGGGGCTTTATACCCACCCAGATCACTTGTACAAAACAAACGGCAGCTCCTTTGCTCTACATTTAGCCCTGCTTGCCCGCAGAAGGGCTAAATGTAGGGGAAAAAACCTACCCGGAACTTCATGTGATCGGAATTGCGCTCCCCTGGACATAATATTAAAATGATACACACAGAATATAATGATAAATAAACTGGTTGCTCCTGCAAACCCATACGATGATAACACTTGATATTGAAGGTTAATTAGCCATATAGGAACCTTCGTTTTTTTATCATTTTATTCTGTATCATTTAAATATTCTTTCTTTATAAAACATAACCTTATAATCAGCGTTATACAAAATTGTGCATTCATTCTGGGGCACCATTAAATACTCAAATTCTTATGTACACTATAGTGTTAAATACAGTGCATGTGCTTTGGCATGCATTCACACAGCAAGTGTTAATGGGGACTATAGAAGAATTCACTTCCCCCTATTCTGCAGTCTTTACTTTACATTTCTGTAAAAAAAAAAAAACATTAATAAACAAGCATACATGTAAATCACATAAACAGAATAGGATGTTAATGTGTGGATGTGCATAGCAAGCAACCAAAGGGGATGTGCCTGTCACTGGAGCATTCTCCCTGTGGAAATCTGGTGGGATCTGTAAGGGAATCAGCAGCATGATCAGACAACGCCACAAAGTACAGCCCAAGTATTTCACTGCTCGTGTTAATTTATTAGCGACCTACAGTCCATTTTTATCTGTAGGGTCACGTTAAAAACATAAAAGCAAGTAATGTTGAAACCTCTCTGCACTCTGTCCTCTTTTTGACAGGTACCATTATCCTTCATATGCGCTCACAACTTAAGGAATCGCAAGAACGTAGAGCGGATATTTTAATATGTTAATAGTTCCACTTAGATAACCTACAATAACACAACAAAAAATCCTAAAAGAAAGTTAGAGTTCCCTATAGCATATTTTGTTATTGTATTCTGCCAAAACACAGTACAATGGCAAATGCATTTGTGTTATTTTTTATGCTAATCTTTTGAGTAGTAGCTACTTCAGGTTTCTGAGGACAGCTGATTTCAAATATTACTAGTAAAACGAGAATTAGCAGTTGCTTCTTGATTCATGTTAGATGCTATTGCATATACTGTAAAGTGGTCTGTTTGAATAATACAGCGAGCAAAAACATCTATGATCTGGTTTTAAAGCGGTCCTTTACACTCAAAAATCAGATTCTACCAATGCACCCCTCTATGAATGATAGACATGTCAGGTGTAAAATGCTGTGATTTTGAAATACACTTGCAGAGCATTCACTTCCTGCTTTAAAAGTGCAAATTACTTCAGTTTGCCAAATCGATGCACACTGGTATTGCCTTGTCATCAGCAGAGCATTGCTGGAAAATCTCATCTGTAATCTCACTACTAAACATTTCTAGAGGTGTGTTTGTTGTTATTTAAAGGTAAGGGCCTGTTCACATGATATCAGGTCCTGATCAGGTGCGGATCTGCAGACTGATGCAGTGCGTTTTGGTCGCGTTTTTGATGGAGTGGGGGCTGTTAGTATGTTAGCTGAAGTGCAGTGCGTTTTTAATGCGTTTTTGACGCGTTTGCGTTTCCGGACCGTTTCCTGACCGTACAAAATGACATGCATGCAGTATTTTTTCTGTCGTAAGCTGAACGGACTGCGCACGTGAGAACTGGAGCCCATAAAACACATAGGGATACATTGGGATTCATTTTGAGTGCAGGAGCGTACGGATCAGGTCAGCACACAAAACGGACGTCGTGTGAACAGGCCCTAAAGGTCCACTTTAAGTCGGTGGTTTTGCAGAAGATTCTGATCATACAGATAAAGATGCCAAAGACATTCACTGCAACTCTCTTAACATGGTGCAGTCATATAGTTATTTCTTTCTTTCCTTATGAAATACCCTCTGTGGCAATGGCTTTAGAAGGTTCTCTTGTGACCTCAAGGTTCTATCTGCCATGAAAGTGACACTAAACTCAGAAGTTAGATCTTAAAAATACATTTAGGCACCTTAACTATTAACATAAATGTATCTTATTTGTGTATCACTCAGCTGTAGATCCTCAAATCATCTCTGAATTGGTGCTGACACCGTCCTTCCTTCTGGAGGGTGGCTGTTCTCCATGGACCCTGTGTGTGTTGTAAAGTAGTCACCACTCCAAGCTCGCTTCCGTGATGGACTACAATCGCAATACAAATTCGTAAACTAAACGTTAGATTGTAGTCCATCGGGGGAGTCCAAACAGGCATTTTATTTAATCCCCTATGTAATAGCAGATAGGGTGTGACAGGTCCCCTTTATGGAGACATCAGGGGGCTTTCAGACCCCTAATGTCACCTAGGGACCCCAAAGAAGCTGAGGAAGCAGATATGTGCTTCCCCAGCTTCTACTCCTGGCTCTAAGAGCCATAGAATGTAAACAGTGACACTGGAAGTGATGTAATACACATCACTTCTGGTTGCTGAGCCCGATACAGCGGAGCCCGTGGAAGCCGGCGGAGGGGCAGCACATGCCAACAATCTGTACAAACAATCCGGTGGCTTTATAGACGCCAGATCACTTGTACATTAACATCCATCGCCAGCTGTTTAAAATGACACCAAGAACACGGCTGTAGCAGGAGCCATGTTCTTGGTTTAACCACTTCTGCGGGCCACTATATATATGTATGTATTGTGGCCCGGAAGTGGTTAATATGTGTTGCGCAATCATTGTTTTGTACCCATGTATGCATGTGTTGTGCATTTGTGTCTGTATGTACATGCAGTGGATGGGCTTTATAATTCTTTCACTATACTTGATTGCTATCACAACGGGCTGACAAGCCCCCTATGCAATGGCATATATAGAGTGATAGGTACACTTCACGGAGGTATCCGAGGTCTGTTGAAATTCTAAATAGAGCACAAACTGTATGTAGCTGTTGTAATGAAACAGTGTTTGTTAACATCGCAGTACAATTACCGCTCTGTTATACTTATGACGCCACCAGTAAAAGGTTTAATCTTCAATCTACATACCAAGTATCATAGCATGGTAGCCTTGTGTGGTGCGTATAGCCATCTGCTTGTAAGTTGCCCATTTATCTCTGAGAAGTATATAGAATTTAAAATGGAACATTGAGATGTTCATTACACACTACTATACAGATTTGTTGGTGCTTTTAGTGGTCAACTGTATATCAAAAAGTATGGTAGACATTACTTCTTATTCACTCTTATGATACCCTCAGTTGACCTTCTAGAGAGTTTTAGTTCAGTCAGGTCAGACCTGACCCACACAGTCTTTGTGCAGTACAGCTAAGCAGAAGTCTGCATATGTAGGCTTTTTAAACATTAACAGTGATTGACAAGTCTGTTTGCATTAGGTCAAAGTGTATGTCAAGCCAACTGCTATCTGGGATTCTGTTAGATTTACCACCATTTCCTGTCCTGCTGACTACCATTTCACGGACACATACAGAAATAAAAATCTGACAGGGATTCTACCCTCTACTCTAAAAAAAACAACTTTCTTTTTTGTATGTATTGCTGTTGGAGAGTTCTGCCTGCTTCCTGTTTGGTTAAACCTCAACAGGACAGAACGTGAGGGCAAATTTATCAAAGCGCACTACCTCCCTTCCTTGTTCAAAACTCATTTTTTTTTAAAAAGCTTTGACTGGGCCTACACTTTAACATTCACACACTGTATATTTGTTAAAAGAAAAACATGTAATTTGTTTTGCAGTTAGCTGTGATAGTCATCTGGTTTAATGTCTAACTCTTGGGCCTCGTTCACACCTGACCGTTATGTAAGGCGTTCTACGCTCGACGAACGCTCTACAAAACGGTCAAAAATATAAATTGCATTGTAGTCAATGCCTTCGTTCCCACCTCGCCGTATTTCCGCCCGTCCCTAACGCCCTACAAAACGGCCCACGCCTGAAAAGGTCCCGGGACTACTTTGGGCCGTTTTGTAGGGCGTTTTCCATTGGGATACAGCCAAGTAGCCTTTTGGAATCGTGCGACGGTCGCGCAACTTTTTTACCGCGGGGCCTTAAAGTGATGCAAAATGGTTAGCAGCCATGTTTCTTCTTTCCTTGACTAAATACAGCAGTAACCCAGAACCTAATACAGCTTCTTTCACCTGGTTTATGAAAACAAGCATTGCTTCACAAAGAGCACAACTCTAAGAAAAGTGGAGTCGCTAGTCAAATCCATGCCAAGCATGTGTATATATTTGTCATGCTGTTACTGGTATGAAAGACACACTGCACTGTGCTTGTGTTGTTGTTATTGTGGATGAGGACATCAGTGATTTAAAAAAATATTGTTCGTAGATGACAGTGTTTTTGAATTTTTATATATAGACCTAACAGCACGTGTACTGTGTTTTACTCTTTGCAAGAATATGGCTTTGCTGTCTCTTCACTAAGGCTGTTCATTGCTTCTTTCAGATTGAAGAGGAGTTGGCTGCCCTTCAGAAAGAACGCAGTGAGAGGATCAAGCATTTGTTTGAACGTGAGGAAAGAGAAATTGAAACCTTCGATATGGAAAGTTTACGGATGGGCTTTGGAAATCTGGTGACGTTAGAATATCCCAAGGAGGACTATAGATGAGAGAGGCCAGTTTTTGCCATTTAAATAAAAGAACAATAATAATATTAACAGTGACAGCAAGGAGAACCTGCAAAACGTACATTCCCCATTTTAACGGGCGTGCTCTCTCTCTCTCTTCCTCCCTCCCTTTATCTCTCTCTCACTCTATCTCTCTGTCTCTATCTATCTCTGACGTCCGTCGGACACTAGTGCCTGTAATTCTTTTTACTCACCAGGGTGCCTCTGGGCAAATCTGAGCACGGAGCAAGCTCCCTGGCATACCTCTCAAGTGTCCCTGATTGTCACTCAAATTTTCAATCCATCAGAACATTGGTGCTTGTTATACAAACCGAAGATTCAAACAGCGGGAAGGAGTCTTGAAGTTACAGTTGTGTTTTGTGTCGAAACTCTTCCTTTATTCATAACCCCTTTTGTGGAAAGAGATAACTTGATTATTCAAAGTTTTGTCCATGATGTTCCTTGGGGAAGATGTTGAGAGGTATGTGGTTTTATCAGTGTGAGGATTGAGAGGTATGTATCTTCTATGCCTCTGTCGGAAGGCTTATGAGGGCTCTGTGTCTATTGGCCAGTCTTTGGCAGAAGGTGAGCAGTGTCTGTCCCTGGTGTCTCTTGAGTACTTTGAGGGGTGAAAGCTACATGTTTATGATTCCTCTGCTGAGACTTAAAGATGTGCGTCCTGCAGTTTGATAAGAAATTATCTCCACAGTTTCAGATGGTTTCATAACCCATGCTGCACAAATTGTCAGTCTGATTAACCCCTTCAGCCCTGAGCCAGTTTAGTGGCAATGTATAAGTAAGATCTGCTGATGACTTTTACCTTGTTCAAGAGTGTTGTCATTATTGCACTTTCAGAAGTTTGGTTACCAGGAGCTTACCACCTCTCTTGCACTGGGTTGGTATCCAGTAAAGACTAACCTTCCAATCTTCTAAAGTGCCTAACACTAAAAACGAAAACTCAGGGATGAAGAGATTAATTTCTTGATGTTCAGTAACACATTTTGAGAGACTAGAGAGAAATGAGGAGATACACATAAAATACAAACCAACAAAAAATGTGAATAACTGTTGGTTGCTACAAACATTTTATTCTGTTTAAAGTACAAGCAAAAAAAATAAATATATATATACAATTTAATACATAAAAAGAGAGAGAGAAGCATAAAACTGCAGCCTTAAGGTTACTGCTGCTGCGTTAAACATTGTTGTTTTTTTGGTATTTGTTCGTCAGGAATAAACAAAAAAAAGAGATTTTATTAAACTATTGAGGTTTGATACATTTTACAGAAACCAATCATGTTGTATATATATATAGACATATTGTTGGGAGGGGGAGAAGCAGAATTTGGGGGGTTGTTTGGGCAGATGGGGAGGGTAGAATGTCTTGTGATAATATATATATTTTGTTTCATTTTTTTTCTTTTTCTTTTCTTTTCTTTTTTTTTTTCTTTTTGATGACTTATGCTGGCCGGAGCAGAAATTGACTTTGAATTTTCATTGCACTTTTGGCTCCTAATCAATGGTACTTTTTACTCCAGTCCTGGTTTTCTTATATGTATATACCATATGTATTCTTAACTGACATAAGGCAGCTGGGAAATTAAGACCAAAATACACTATTTAATCAATGACTTTGGCAAGGTATGGTGCCAGAGAATAAACTTTGCTAAATCTTTGCAATATATTGCTAATGTATGCCAGGATGTTAAAAAAAAAAAAAAAGCCCAAAGGTTAAGTAAATTTACAAAGTGTATATGGTAGTACATATGATTGGTAAATTCTACCAGCCCTCTGCTCCATTTCCTGTGGCAGTATGTCCATGCTGTATGCAGCCAGTTAATTGTTTTCGCTGCCTGAGCCCAAGTAAGTACAGTTTTGTACATAGGAGTGGGCACAATTTCTAAAACTGGACTTGAAAAGAGTACTTGAGTAGAAAATGAAGATTCCTTTTTTCCTTGATATTAATATATCTTTATTTAGAAAAAAATAAAGATTGTGAATACATATGCCTCAGTCATTAAATACTGTATATCCCTGGTTCCTGGTACAATCCTAGTTCCCACATTCATTAGTCCCGGAACCTGAGCATGGAAGAAAGTACTGTATTTGCCTCACAAGAAGTTTTCTTTTCAGCACGAATTGTAGCTAATTATCCCTTAAGCCCATCAGGTTGAAAGGTGGAATTTCAGGGTTTCTGTCTTTCTTTTCCTTTCATTTTGTTTGTTCTTTTTTTTTATATAAATTTTCCCTTTTCTCCCATAATTTTATGTTTTGGGTGGAGGGCATAAGAATTTAATAGATAATGGCTGTGATGTACTGAGTCAGTGTTTCCTCAAAGAACATTTCAGTGTGTTCATAAAAAAAAATATTGCATAAATATGAACAAAATAAGAAAACCACTTTTAGAGAGAGAGTATTTTTGAAGCTGCAAATTCTGTATAAAAATTGATGTTAGACAAGTAATGTATCGTATTTGTTCAAGAATATTATAAGAAAAATCAAACTTTGCGGACTATTTTTTGGCACAAAATAATAAGTTAAATATACTTGTTTTATTTTTAAGAGAATTGAATTTAAAAAAAATAATATATAGAGTCTAAATTAATAAATGAATTTAATACGTTTCCCCTTTTCCGTCTGTAAACTACTTTTACAAATGCTGTTCAAAGAGGCATTTGCAGGGCAAGTAACCCAAATCAACCATGTCCTGCTTGGATTTTAATATTTAGTGTCCTCATTTTTAAACATCTTATGCTCTGGCTTAGTACATCTTGGTCCTAATTTATAAGCGTGAAAAAGGTCCTCTAGAGTACAACATTTTTATTACATTTAATGCAGTCAATTATTCATAAATGGTCTATGTTCTTCCTGGATACATGTAGCTGTATTTTCACACAGAATGCTACCACATTGCACTTTTCATGTTAAGAGTGTACAAATTTAAACTTCAAATTATTTGGTTTTTATTTTGTATTGATTTCTTGGAAAATTAAATGCATTCAGTTCATAAAATAATTCTTTTACAAGAATATTTTATATGGAAACTTGTCCGTTATATTGATAATTATTGGACACCAAAGCCAGTATCTGAAAACAAAAAGAAAAAAATCTTTTCATCATTTCAGTGCATACTTCTTGTAATGAGGAGAAACCTGAATTTAAGGTAAAGCATATACAATATTTTGAAATATTTTAGTTTTTGGGAATTGGCACAATTACACGCAAATAAAACTGAAAATTGATGAGGATGTATTTATTTTTTTGTTCAATTGGAAGTACTTGGTAAACAATGGTAAAGTTCTGAACCTACCAGAAAGAAAAATGACATAACTTTTTGTTTGAATCTGCAAACTGTAAGCAAAGTATTTGTACAGATCTCCTAGAAGCTGGAAAGGGAATATGTAAAACCAGGACTGGGTATATTGATCTGTGTTAAGGGGTGCTTTACACTTTGTCAAGTGATTAACGTCATGCACCTGCAAAGCTCGTCCACTACTCTATCTACACTGTGCTCATTTGGGTCCCACTCTCTCTGGTACATAAACGATAAACTTTGTGGCTGCAGGCCTTTCACTTGATTGCAAGGATCTCAGAGCTGTTCATTGCTTTAAATGACCACTAGCACTGGAATTTTTTCAATGTTATTGGGGAATATGAATAGTGGAAAATTAGTCGTTTTTCTTTATATCAAAGAAACGATTAAATCATTCCTTAGAACTCTGTCCTAATGTAAAGGTGCTAAGCTTGTGTTATCTGGGATACCTTTTTGTGACCTTTTTAGAAGTGAAACAAAGCAACATCCTGATTACATTGCATTAATCCTTGTGCCCTAATCCCTTTAGGTTACTACAGAAACTCATTGGCAGAAGGACTTTGGGTTACCTGCAGTGTTTTGCACTGAAAAGTACATTAAATGATCCTGGAAATTCTTTCTGGCAGTAAAGTGTTTCAGCTCTTGGAATCTTATTGGCATTGTGCTGTTTACAGAAATTTCTTTCCATACATAGCATTGTTTAATGAATGTGTGTATTAACAGCTATCAATAGCTATCTTCTTGAGAATGTATCTCATCCATATATCCACCCAGGACATTTGTATTTTGTCTACTTATCATCTTACAAGAAAGGCAGAATATTCTTTTTAACACCTCTGAAAACAGCATTGGATAAATTTAATGCCCAATTATCAGGCTGCAGTTATGGTTGCATGTTATCCAGTGGGTTTTTTTTTATTATTAAATCCTTTTCACTATGCGCTGGTATTTGTGTCTTCAGAAAGAGAATCTGCTCATCGCGGCAGATGTTATATCACTGCCAATATCTAGCTCCAGTACTGCCCATCTCAATAAACAGTGGAGCGTCCATTTTGCTTGCATTAGGTTCGTTATTGCACTTCTTAGTTTGAAGAATTTGTACTGCTGTTCTTTGCTATGAAGTTGTTTTGTACATACATTTTTAAGAGTATTGGGACATAAATAGCAGATCTCTCAAATTTTTTTTTGTATATGCTGTACATGTTCCTTGTTACATGCCTCTGGAGCAGTGCAGGAAGCAGTGTTCAGGGGTGTGGTGGTGCTTTATCAGATGGTCTGCAGCCTCAAACAAAAAAAACTCTGGAAGCAAAAACATAAAATTTTTATGCTTCTGATAAAGCCTCTTTGTGTAGGCTTCTCCAGCACAGCATAAATATGTTGTTTTATTTTATATATATTTTTTTCTTCTTTTTTTTTTTTTTAAACTGGAACAGGATAGCTTATGAAATGGATAGAGAGTGGACTCTGAATAAGCACAGGCCATTCAAATCGATGCTCTGCTCCACTGGTTTTGCTGCTGTAACAGTTGTTAAGCAGAGGATGTGTGCACACAGCATCCCAGTGCCCACTGTCCCACTAGCACAAAATCCACTTAGGGACTGTGGCCAAAAATCATGTATTTTCTGTATAGAATGAACTGAAGGAGAGATTTTACATATTTTCGTATTGTATTTTAACAGTTTTTTCTCAAATCCGTATACTAACTTTCATCTCTCTCCCTCTTTTCTTTTGTTATTTATATAATTTATTTTTTAAATTTTAATTTAATTTTTTTTCTAAATGGGAGGGGGGGTTCT